ATATATATACCTATTCTTTTTCAGATTCTTTTCTAGATTATTACGACATGTTGAATACGGCTGCCTGTGCTATAAGTAGGTCTTTGTTGTTTATCTGTTTTATACATAATGGAGTGTATTCATGAGAAGCAAGGTTGCTCAGTCGTGTTGCAACTCTTTGCGATCCCATGGATTGTATAGCCCAGCAGACTCCTCCATCCATGAGATTTTCCAGGCAAGAGGTCTGGAGTGGGTTGCCATTTCCTTCTCCAGGGGATCTTCCCGACCCGGGATCGAACCCAGGTCTTCCGCATTGCAGGCAGACGCTTTACCCTCTGCGCCACCAGGGACACCCCAGGAGTGTGTGTATGCTGATCCCAAACTCCGAATTTATCTACTTCCCCGCTCCCATCCCCACAACTGTCTCTTTTTGTAACCACAGGTTTGTTTTCTATGTCCATGAGTTTATTTCTATTTTATGTGTGCTGTTGAAGTTATAAATAAGTTCATTTGTGGAGAAGAATTTTTTTGATATTAAGAATAAAAGGCATGTAAGAGAATATATTTTAAGATATATAATGAGAGGCCTGATGTGATTTTCAAATTATGAAAGACAGAATGTGGTGAGCTTAATTCTAAAGAGTGATTAATTCCTATGATGTAATGTCCCTTATCATTTGGTCATGTTCACAGTGTATAACCCACTGAAAAGAAAGGAGAAGGGAAATCACCAAAATGGGACCATAGAACAAGAGAGACCAAACTGAAGAAAAACAGCATAAAAACCTCTTTGTCTGCCTCTATGTTCCTCCTTCTGCTCCCATCTGCTGCCATTCTTTACCCCTCGGGAGGGCAAACATTTCCCTGTAAAGGACCAAACAGATAGTAAATATCTTAGACATTGTTTCCATGTATTTTCTGTCTCCAATCTACTCAGCAGAGCTGTTATAGTGAAAGCAGCGTAACAACACATAAATGCTTAGCCATGGTTATTTTAGACTACAGCTTCGTCTATGGACACTAAATTTGAACTTCATATAATTTTCATGTGTCATGAAATGTTACTTTTCTTTTGATTTTTTTGGAACCATTAAAAGCTGTCAGGACCACTCATAGACTGTCCTAACAGGTGGGAAGGCAGACTGGGATCCTGGCCGTGAATTGACGACCACCACGCCAGCCTGACCACTCCTCTCTCATTTCCAGACACATTGTTTATTGTCCCTATGGGCATTTCTTTTACTTCCACCATTTAAATGTTGTTTTAGGCTAAGAACTTAATCCCAGAAGAGACTTCAGAGGACCAAATGACACACGCAGTTCTGCTCAGATTCTGCAAAAAAATAAAAAGGCAGATTTTGCAGAGCTGCTACAGCCAAATCAAGTTAGCCTGAAACAAATAGAAGCCACAGTGGCTGTCTAAGAGGATTTAACATAAAATGGAAAATTCTTGGCATACTCTGTTAATTTCATTGAAGATTAAAGGATAAATGCAGGACTTTGAATCATCCACAGAAGCTATTTAGTTCTAAATTGATGCTAGCAAATATGAACATTCTTTGTGGGTTTTAACAGCATGGGTCATTCCTAAATTTTAATTTTTTTCTCACCAGGGAATCTGGCCTCAATGTCATAGAAAGACTCTTGATCTTGGTGTCCAAAAGACAAAGGCTTGAATTTCAGCTCTGTTAGTTTTACTGTGATCTTGGGTAAATTAATATCACCTATAAGAATCTTAACTTCTTTATAAGTAATATGAAATTAATAATACTACCTCACTGGCCTTTTATCTTTTTTTTAGCTCATTACTATTAATTATGAAAATTTCAAACAGAAGCAAAATGGTAGAGGACTATAGAGAATTCCACTGTACAATTCACTGCATTTTATCAAACTTCTTTCATCTTTATCTCACCCCATTTTTCCCTCTCTTTAAATACTAGAGTAAAATATTCTCTTTACAATTCTAAGTGTAATATTATTTCACCTTCAAATATTTCAGTATGTATGCCCAACAGATAAGATCTTTTAAAGGAATATCATAATTCCATTATCACACCTAAAATGACAATAATTGCAAATAATGCTTTGCAAAATTGCATTAATTCTTTAACAGCATCTGTTATCCAGTCAGTGTTAAAATTCCCCTAGTTTTTTTAAAAAAAATGTCTATATAACTGGTTTATTTTAATCAGGAGTCGAAGAAGACCCAGGGCTTCCTAGGTGGCTCTGTGGTAAAGAATCCACCTGCCAATGCAGGAGACGCCAAATTCGTGGGTTGGATCCCTGAGTGGGAAAGATCCCTTGGAGTAGAAATGATGACTCACTCTAGTACTCCTGCCTGGGAAATCCCCTGGAGAGGGGAGCCTGGCAGGCTGCAGTCCATGGGGTCACCAAGAATTGAACATGTCTGAGTAACTGAGCATGCACACACTTGCACAAAGATTCATATATTGTATCTAGTCATATGTTATTTAAGACTCAAAATTTATGACAATTTCTCTTCTCATCTTTCTTCATATAATTATTTTGTGGAAGGAATAATTATTTGTCCTGTAGAATTTTATGTGATCTGAACTTGGCTATTTCTTCACCCTTGTAGAGTCATTGAATGGTTTCTTCTTTTTCAGATATTTCCCATTGGTAGATAGAGGGACTTCACAAGTGGTGCTTTTACTCATGATTGTACCACATTTAGAGAACATGATGTCTGGTTGCCTCTTTTCCACTTTTCTGTTACGATTGATGAGTGGAGTCCCTGGGGTGGATGCATTCTTCATCAACCTCTTGCCTAGTGTTTTTAGCACTGGTTGATGACGTTGCTTAGCATCTATCACTTCATAAGGGGTTGCAAAAAGTAGATTTTCTAATTCTATCAGTCCTTTTGGATTTATTGGCAAGAATTCTTTAGTACAATTTTCATAATCAACTATATGGTTACCAAGAGATATAGGGTAAATTCATATCATAAAGGCAAAATAAATGTCTGTTTGCATTCCCTCTTGGCCTCTTTTCTGGGCTAATTTTTAGTATAATGGTAGCCTGTCTCTGATGAGTTTGAGGATTGTTGGTGAAAGTGGAGGTTTTTCCCTTGTCAACATAATTTCAAGAATTAAAAAAATTTTGATGTGTTTTACTCAGTCACAGTCATTCCTCTTTGGATTGGCTGTTTGTGTCTTATGCAAGTAGTAGTTGATCACTTTTCCACTTTCTGATACGACAAGGTATCTCAGTCTCACCTTCTGCACTTCTTGCCTCAGATCTAAATCAGTCAAGAAGCCCTGGTTACATTTTCATATTTATAGAAAATGGTGTACTAATACCACAATCTGAACACTGGGAGTGTTAATTGCTTCCATTTCTAAATTTTCAGTGGGTAGACTTGGAATATACATTTTAAAATGGAGATAAATATTTTATACTCATGGTTTCAGTTTGGATTATAAGATTTTTTACAGAACATTTTTGGTTCTAATTTAGAATTTTTTCTTTTATGCTAAAAATCTTGGCTCTTAAGACATTTAGACAGTGACTTCATTCTATGTTTTCTGTCATGTGGGTGACCCACATGCATGCATGCACACACACATCATAGTTTCAAAATAGCAATAGCAATGTTTCCACTAACAATATTGTTAGTGAGTACAGTTTAAGGTTGCTTTGTGATTCTTTTTGTTCTCAGGACATAGCGCACCTGGGAAAATCAGTCCCAGGATTCTCAGGTGACTCAGTGGTAAAGAATCTACCTGCCAATGCAAGAGATGCCAGAGACTTGGGTTCGATCCCTGGGTCGGGAAGATCCCCTGGAGTAGGAAATGGCAACCCACTCCAGTGTTCTTCCCTGGGAAATCCCATGGACGGAGGAGGCGGGCAGGCTACAGTCCACGGGGTCACAAAGAGTCGGACACGACTGAGTGAGCACGTGTGTGTCATTTCAAATAGCTCATGTGGATATGCTGCCAATTTGGTAGGCAAATGTATTCGTTTCTTGGTTTTTATTCTGAAGATATTTTTCCTTTCAATTTAGTTATATTTTATAATTAGGTAAAATAATTACACTGTTGAGTGTCAAAACTATAAATCACAGATTTTCTCCTTCCATCCTTCTCACCTTTCTTAGAGAAATTATGATGCAATGTATCCTTTTTCTGCCCCATGCATTTTCACTGAGTAAATATATCCTAGAGAAGATGTAGGTAGTTCATTTAGTCAGTCCTCTTTTTGTGGGCATTTGCACTTTTCTCAATATTTTCTTATTACAAATAGTTCTTTGGTAAATGGCCTTTACAGGCTTTTGAGAGTTAAATAAAATGCAGTATATTAAAGGTCTCTGTGAAGTATAAAATGATATACATACATGTTTGTAAGTTATATATGTCCTGTGTTCTCAGTCATGTCCGACTCTGGGACCCCATGGACTGTAGCCCGCCAGGTTCCTCTGTCCATAGGATTTCCCAGGCGAGGATACTGGAGTGAGTTGCCATTTCTTTCTTCAGGGCAACTTCCCTGGCCCGGGGATTGAATCCAGGTCTCTTGAGTCTCCTGGCAGGTGGATTCTTTGCACTAGTATCATCTGGGAAGCCCTTATTTTAGGTTATATGTATGTGTGTGTGTGTGCATTTTTATATACATATGATTTTATCTTATTTTAGCTCCATAGACATTTATTAAGCACTTACAATGTGCTAGAATATGAATATGAATAAGGCATAGTCTCTACTCTTGAGGTGTTATAGTCTAATTAATATGGAATAAAAGGGAAAATCCCATATTTTTCCATCTCAGTTTAATTTTTGAATTTCTAATCAATGATTGTTTCAACTGGTGGTGTTTTAATATTAAGTTAATTCTTGGCTCTTAGAGACATGCAGATTTCAATAATTTGTAATATTTTCTAGTATTAATGTATTTGATTACAGTGCCCGTACAGAATTCCATTCAGTTTACAACCACATAATTATAACATCAAAGGAATTAGTTTGGTCCAACTGATTTACGTTTTCCTAAAGCTGGATGTCACAATGGCAGCAGTAACAGTGACCGCGACAGTTCCGCAGAAGGGGAAGACGGAAGATGCTTCTGCCTTGTACGAGTCTCCATCTGCTCACATTATTGAAGAAACCGAATACGTGAGAAAGGTATGTGGGCGCTGGAGATCATGTTAGCACGGCATGAGTTTTACAATAAAGTCTGCTGCAAATTAGCGGGCTTTGTTTCTCCCTCCCTAGAATGCGTGAGGAAGAACAAGCCTAGTTTGGCAAAGGACAGCCTTAATAGCTGCCGTGCAAACATGGGTGCATTTCTCTCGCGTATGTAACCATTTCTCCTGAGGGTGTGAGCCTGTTCTTCACCTGGAACAAAGCTGAGTAAAGGCCCGAGGATTTGGAACGCCTGTCAGCGCTGAATTTGTCCCCTACTGCACCCCTGCACCCTCCTGGGGTTTTCGTCGTTGTGGTTGTTGGTTGTTTTGGCTGCTCTGGGTCTCCATTGCTGTGCGTGGACTTTCCCTAGATGCGGGGCGAGCGGGCGCTGCTCTTCACTGTGGTGTGCGGGCTTCCCCGCGTGCTGGCTTCTTCGCTTGCGGAGCACAGGCCCTGGGGCGCTGGGTCCGCAGTGGGTGCGGGCTCAGTAGTTGTGGCCCGTGGGCTCTAGAGCTCACGCTCAGCAGCGGTGGAGCACGGACTTGGTTGCTCTGCGGAATGTGGAATCTGCCTGGGTCAGGGATCAAACCCGTGTCCCCTGCATTGGCAGGTGGATTCTTATCCAATGCACCACCAAGGAAGTCCTATCCTACTGTGTCCTGTCACTTCTTAGTTCTTTCATAAGTATGGAGACTTTGTTGCCAACTAGATAGATGTTTACCTTTCCTGCTAAGTTCCTGTCTCTCCTTACCTAACAAGGAACACCTTGTTAAGCAGTTCGGAGTAACTATCGCCAATGACGACATGTTGCACATGATTAACAATGTGAAATCTTAACCAGAATCCAGTGATAATGGCTGACAAAAGTATGTATTCTCATAAAATGTGTTTTAGAACAGATGGAAGAATTTGGACATAGCTAGTTTGTAACTTATTCAGGTCAAGTAATTCATCTTTGAGTGTCTTGCAGTTCCATAGATCACCAAGACATGAAGCTTATATTTCATGCATAAATTTATACCATCTCCTCTGAGTAATTATTCTCTAGTAATTGCTAAATAGTAGTTATTCTCTAGTAATTACTAGATAGTAATTATTTTGTAGTAATTATTGGATAGTAATTATTTTTTAGTAATTACTGAATAGTAATTATTTTGTAGTGATTACCAATAGTAATTGTTTTATAGTTATTACCAAATAGCAAATTAGTAGGAAATTGCTATATAAAAAAATAGAACTAAATAGTTTTAAACACTAATTACTAAATAGCAATTACTTTGTGGTATAACATTTATTTGGGTTATATTTTAGGTTTGCCTAAGGAACAGTTTTAAAGACAAAAATGCTCATTTTCTGCAATCTAAACAATATTAGCATAAGTGTAAGTTAAGTTGATGGCAGTTGTTTAAATATGATATTGGTATATATATACTACTGCTGCTGCTGCTAAGTCACTTCAGTCGTGTCCGACTCGACTACTTTCAGATAAATTCAGTACCCTGTAACTGGTATAGAAAAGGAAGTTTTGGGGATTAATGCCTTTGAAAAAAATCATTTCTTTTTTCCTTTTAGATTCGAGCTACTCTGGAAAAGATCCGAAATCAAATATTTAGAGATGAAGTAAGACATAGCAGTACAAATCACAAACTAGATGCAAAGGTAATGAATTTATCAAAATGTACCACTTTTATTCCTTCAGTAAGTGAACATAAAGCCATATAGACTTCATTTAAATAACTTCTGATATTATTAAATTTTTTTTATGTCAAGTATTAAATCTTTTGTTGGTATCTAAAGATGTTAATGAGCATATGTATGAAATATTTAGCCACAGATGTCATTAGTAGGATCAGACTGGAGTGGCCAGATCTTACTTGAATATTTTAAACTTGACTTACTCATCTAAAGTGTATGGGAAGACATTGGCCCAGTCAGGATGAGTGGAAACAACATGTTACAGTGATAGACAAAGGTACAGACTTTTAGATTCGCCTGGGTCACACCATTTGACACCCATTTGGAGCCATTAGCCTGAGTGATCAGATAGTCGATAAAATTTAAATGCACTCCTTCCCCCATGACCAGCCTTTTATTCATAATTTTAAGCACTCTGCACTTACCCTTGTCTGAGTTATGCCAGATTAAACCTCACCTGAACCGCATGTACCTCATGAATGACAGTGTCATCTGCTCTGTAGAATGGCCACAGAAAATACTAGAAAGTACCATACGATGATGCATAAACATAGTCTTTATCATCCTTGTCTCTCAAACTAACACAACTAGCTTCAATTATTTTCTTAAGTTCTCTAAAACTGGCAAAATGATTACTGTTGTGAATGACAGGGAAGGTCAAGCATTCAGTTCTGACTATGCTGAGTTGCTTTGTAGACTTCCAAGTGAAGGGTCTAATGGATGGTTGGATAGCTGATTCTGGAGTTAAGGGCAGAGGTCTGTGCTAGAAGGCTCAGACTATGGGATAGAGATTTGGGGAGTAAGGATGGTATTTAAAGTTCTGAAACTGGAGGAAATGACCAAACACATGAGTGTGGATAGAAATGAGAGAAAACCTAAGCACGGAGGAGTCCTGAGATCTCCAATATTTAGATACTGGGAAGAAGAAGCCGAGGAGGAATCATCACAGGAGGGGAGAAGTTAAACTAGTGAATAAAGAGGAAAGGTGGGAGAGAATGGAGCCATTGGCGATGAGCAAAAACGGGTTTCAGAAAGCGAGGAGGGCTGGTTATCAACCCCTGGGGCTTCCTAGGTGGTTCAGTGGTAAAGAATCTGCCAGCCAATGCAGGAGACCCAAGAGATGCCTGTTCAATCCCTGGGTCAGGAAGATCCCCCGGAGGAAGAAAGGGAACCCACTCCAGTATCAACCATTGGCTAGAACAATAGGGACGTTGTTGGAGCTATTCTTAATAGGAATAGCTTCTTGGGGATGTAGATGAACTGTGTTTCCAGTGGGTCTGCCTCAGGCATCTCAAACCACAGAAGGTCAGCAAACAACAGAGATATAAAAAAACAAGCCAACTGGCTTTGTGGATATCATCTATCTCCTCAAAGGTCTTAATAGTATATGTGAAACTGTAAAGGATGTAAAAGACGTGAAAGATGTACTTCTTTCCTTTCAGTATAACAATCTATTCAAATTTGTGCAAATATAAAGGCCAGCTGATTCATCTAGAATTTCTCACTGACATTTTAGAGTCAAAAGATTTATTTGTGTCGACCTGAATCTTCCTTGATATATGTAATGTGCTGTGCTGTTCTCAGAGGCATCTGACTCTCTGTGACCCCATGGTCAGTAGCCCACCAGACGATTCTGCCCATGGGATTTTCCAGGCAAGAATACTGGGGTGGGTTGCCATTTCCTACTCCGTTGACCTAAGTAATACTGAGCGATAATTATTGTTATCAGAGTTAGTAGAGTGAAAGAAAAGTCAGGTGTGTGATTTTCTTGTTTGTTCACTTCAGCACTGTGGAAACATTCAAAACGGCTCTGACTCTGCAACGGATCCCTCTTGTGGCAGTTTGGATCTGCTCATGGAAAGGATAAAAGGGAAAGACCTGCAGCTCTTAGAAATGAATAAAGAGAATGAAGTGTTGAAAATCAAGGTATGACCAGTAGGAGGAAGTTCTCATTTTGTACTTTGAGCCTTTGAGCCAATAAGATAGATTCATGCTTCTGTGAAAGCAGATAGACATCCACATACCTCCATAAATCCACACAATGTGCTCATAAACTTAGCAAGCAGTTTTACACTTGATAAATTAAATCTCACTGTTTTATTTTGAAGATAATTTTTATTATTAAAATGATTTTACAAAAGTTCAGTGGGTATAGTTTCAAGATGGACAAGATGAGTGAATTCTAGAGAGTCAAAGTACAATATTGTGCTTATAGTTAATATTGTATTGTACACTTAAAAATCTGTTAATGGGGCAAGTCTCATGTTGTGTTTTTTCTGCAATAAAATTTCAAAGTCTTTACATATACAATAATTAAATTAATAATAGCATATAAATTAGAGCACTCATAGTCAAATGTCTCATTGTTTTGTTTAGCTAGTCTATTGTTGGTGCCTTATAGTTTCCCTTTTTTTGGCTTATTTTACATATAGTTTTATGGGGCTTACCAAGTGGTGCTACTGATAAAGAACCCACCTGCCAATGCAGGAGACGTAAGAAACACAGGTTCAATCCCTGGGTCGGGATTCGATCCCCTGAAGGAGGGCATGGCAATCCACTCCAGTATTCTTGCCTGGAGAATCCCATGGACAGAGGGGCGTGGCGGGCTACAGTCCATGGGGTCACAAAGAGTTGGACATCACTGAAGCAACTTAGCATGTACACAGTCTTACAGTGATTTAGGAGGTAAATCTTTGTAGCCATCCTTGACTATTTCTTAGGTGAAATCCTTGAAAGATTCACGACACTTTATCATCTTTATTGCCCCTAGTACTTCAATCTTGTCCAGCTTCTATCTCAGGAAATACATTTTTAGTACTGTCACGGCCACTGATGATAAAACGCTTGCAAATTTGTGTATAAGCCAGTGGTGCGACAGGGAACACTTACAGGGTGTGGTCTTTAATGCGGGGTGTTGTTCTTGGCTCTTGCTCGGCTGCCCAGTGCTCATCACCTTCATGACAGCCCCAGTAAATAGGGCCTTCTCATTTCATGTTTTCTTCTTACCAGGTAACAGCGTCTTTCCCCCTAGCCATTGTCTATGAAGGCGCAAATGGCATGGCTGCAGACTGGGTCTGGTTGCCCCTCAAACTGCCCTGTCTGTAACCCTTATTGTTCATGCCAAAGCGCGCACGGTGACCTTTTGTTTCCAGCTCGAAGCCTCCAGAGAAGCAGGAGCAGCGGCTCTGAGAAATGTGGCCCAGAGATTATTGGAAAACTATCAAACCCAGTCTGAAGAAGTTAGAAAAAAGCATGAGGACAGTCGGCACTTCCTCCAGGTACTGAGCTAGCAGCTTGCCGACTGAACTAACCCCCAAGTTGTCTGAGTCTCCCTTTTAGGGAGGAGTTAGATGTGAAACAAGCAAGGCCACATGACTAGGCAGGCCCCGGGAAGGGCAGTGTGCCGGTCTTCTGCCCTGGCCTCCCCCCAGCCCTGGAACTTGGTACCTGGATGCTGCCAAGCTGCTTTGTTGCCCCCCCTTGCCCAGAGCCCTGCAGAATGCCGGCCGGAGAGAGGCCATGCCAGTCAGCCTAGAAATCAGGGCCGGCCCCACGACACGGGCCAGTGGCTTCTCTTCTGGTTCTGCCTTTGGCTAACTAGGGGACCCCGTTTGAGTCATTCTGTCTCTCTGGACTTGACTAAAATGAAAAAGTTGGCGGACTTCCCCGGGGGTCCAGTGGCTCAGACTGTACTTCCAATACAGGGGGCCCAGGTTCAATCCCTGGTCAGGGAACTGGATCCCACATACTCACATGCAGCTAAGAGTCCACATGCTGCAGCCAGAGATCTTGTGTGTCACATCTAAGACCTGGCGCAGCCAAATTAATTAACTAGTTAAATAAATATTAAAAAAAAAATTTTTTAATGAAAAAGTTGGGCTTGATAAATAGGTTCAAAATTGTTTTGGTCCTGGAAAGATTCTTCAGAGGAAACAAAATAATGTATATATGTACATATATATTTCATATTAAATTATATTTTATATTTCTATATTTTAACATATGCATATATACATTAAAATCATATAATATTATATGAATGTCTGTATATCATACACATACACTTTTGCTTGTTTTTAAACCTGAACGGTGTATCCTAAGACCAATAAAACTATATCTGGAGAATGTATCCAGGACTGGGGAAGATGGGAAATGTGTGTATGTGTGTTTGTCAAAACTCAAAACAGGAAAGCTCATTCAGGCTTGGGTGGGGCATCTGAGTCTCTGCCAGCTCCGGCCCTAGGAAGGCCCCAGGGAGCATGGTAGGAAACCCACTGCCTAGGTGACACGCCCGCAAGCTTCTGGCTCTGGGGGTGATGGTCACAGACTCGTAGGCATGCAGAGTGCGGGGGAAGTACCTAAGTGAACGAGTGAGCAGGTGGACAGAAGTGCCCGTGTCCCTGCAAAAGGGACTCTGCCCAACCTGGACTTCCGGGGCAGGAATGCCCACCTATTGTGTTCGAGGGAAATCAGACACTCCTTTTTTTTTTCACGTGGAAAAATCTCAAGTCCTATTAAATACAGAAGCAGATGTGTGCACTCATGTCAGCTGTAAGTCAGTTGGAACACTCCCACGTGTGGCCTACGGCCTGTCTGCTAAAGACTTTAGGCTCAGTGGCTCAGAGATAACCCCCTGACACTGTGGAGATAAATATTCTGCTTTTATGACAATTTCTGATTAAAAATAGAACATTTTTTTACTTGAATACATAAGATCTTGGTTTTGTTCTATGGAAGTTTTGTTGAGAAAAATTCAAAAGTGTTGCTTTTTTAAAATCACTGTCTTTTCTTTCTGTCCCTCTTTCAGAGAGGATGCTTTTTAGTAACAAATATCAACTTCTAGAAATAATATTTATGTATTATTAATTCTCCATTGACTTAGTGTTGTTGTAGTCTACCAAGTTTATTTTAAAGAAAGGCTGAATTCACAGAAGTAATTCTAAACATGTGTAAATTATTAATTTATATATAGATATATAAATTACAGCAAGAGATAATATCTGTATAAGTTTAGTTAAAACAATGGTCTGACAACTGATTTTCTAACCAAAGGTTGACAAACTTGAAAAAGAACAGAAATTGAAACAACATGTTGAAAATCTGGATCAAATGGCTCAGAAGCTTGAAGAAAAACATAATCAAATTACAGAGTTGGAGAATCTTATACAGAGAATGGAAAAGGTAGGCCCTTGGAGAATTAAAGGCACTTCTTCATGACATGGTTAGGATGAGAATGAATGAAAATAATATGAAAATAAGTAGCATGAAGTGAAAGTACTCTTTGTAGTTGAAGATCTTAGAATGTGTTTGTTTCTTGCCTTACACATTTAATATGATGTGTGTTGTAGTTACTGATTTACCCTTTTACAAACACTGCAGTCATATTATCTGTCACTTTTTTTCCTAGTAAATGTATGGCTGAGAAAGGGGAACTAGGTGAGGCCATGAATAGAAATAATGGAAAAGATCACAAAGTCCATCTACTACTGGTAATAGTGTAGTGAATCCCTGCAATCGTAAGCACTATGTACTAGTCAGTAGAGGGTTTATTTTTGGCCAACCGTGTTCCCTTTAGGTTTGTAAAAACCTATGCCTGGCGTAGGACAGACATAGTTCACAAATAAGAAAAGACATTCTATGGAAATTGTAACTTTCAAAAGAGACAATTTATGGAAGAATACTAATAGAACAAAAATTATTAAAAGTTTTATGCAGCACTCCTTTAAGTAGCTGGCCCTCCACAAAAAGTGAGCACATACATTTCATTTGGCATGCCTTAGAATTCAGAATTCAGACAAGCCATGGGATATTTTTTAATAATAAACCAATAGACAGTTGGCATCTTTGAGTTAAAGTAGATAAGAATACAGACTTTTTAAACTTTTAGTAAGTATTGCCCAATGTTGTTGTCATTGTCCAGTTGAGACTCTGACCCCACGGACTGCAGCGTGCCAGGCTCCTCTGTCCTTCATCCCAAAGTTTGCTCAAATTCATGTCCACTGAGTCTCTGTCCTTCACGCGCTCCTGGAATTTGCAGATTCATGTCCATTGATGATGGTGCTGTCTAACCATCTCATCCTCTGCTCCCTTCTTCTCAATATGTTTTCATATTTATTATATGAATTTGCCAATTTGCCTCCACTCTTCTCAGCCTTATTTTGTTTTATGAATCTGCTTGAATTGAGGCTATTTTAGAAATGTTAGGGCTTCCCTGGGGGCTTGGTAAAGAATCCGCCTGCAATACAGGAGACCTGGGCTCAATCCCTGGGTCAGGAAGATCCCCTGGAGGAGGGAACAGCTACCCACTCTAGTATTCTTGCCTGGAGAATTCCATGGACAGAGGAGCCTGACGGGATACAGTCCATTGAGTTGCAAAGAGTCGGACACGACTGAGTGACTTTCCCTTTCCTAGAAATGTCACTTCCAAAGCATCACATTTCAACATTCAGGATATTTGCCTGAAAAAAAGTTTGATCAATTGTTTACATATTTCCTAAGAACTTAATTTATATCTGTGAGTTTGGCTGAATTTGTGATCTTAATGAAGGTCCTATGAGGACCTTGCTTAGAAGCCTAAACTTAACTGAATCTAATAATAATAATCTACATCTACATTTGTGTTGCACGGTGGGTGATGTTCAGTGTTTTACTTTAGCCAAAATCACAGGGCTGGAATGTCCTCAAGTAGCTGGTTTGCCCACATGTAACACTTTATAAGTTAGATGTTTTGGACAAACTGGAATGTTTGGATGAATACTTTGCAGTGCTAGAATATTTATCCTGCAAATAGATAAAGAAGATATGGTACATATATACAATGGAGTATCACCCAGACATTAAAAAGAATGAAATAAACCATTCAGAGCAACATGGATGGGCCTAGAGATCATCATACTGAGTGAAGTAAGTCAGACAGAGAAGGATAAGTAGCCTATGGCATCCCTTATATGCAGAACCTGAAAAGAAATGATGCAAATGAACTTATTCACAAAACAGAAACAGACTCATAGGCTTAAAAAATGAACTTATGGTTCCAGGATGGGGAGAGGACAGGGAAGGGGTAATTAGGGAGTTTGGGACTGACATATACACACTGCTATACATTTAAAATGGATAACTAACAAGGACCTACTGTAAAGCCTAAGGAACTCTGCTCAGTGTTATGTGGCAGCCTGGATGGGAGGGGAGTTTGGGGAGAATGGATACATGTGTGTGTATATATATATATATGGCTGAATCCCTTTACAGTCCACCCAAAACTATCACATTGCTAACTGGCTGTAGTCCAATACAAAATAAAAAGCTTTTTTAAAAAGAATATTCGTCCTCTAATAAAATCCCATCGACAGAGGAGCATTACAGGCTATACTCCATGGGGTCACAAAGAGTTGGACATGACTTAGCGACTAAACAACAACAAAATTGTTTGGCAAACTAAGATAGCACAAGGAACATTTGCATTGAGGAGGGGAAGACAATTCCTTACCTCAATTCAAATAGAGTTGCTTAATTAAACTACTTGATTAACCAGCTTGATATTTAAATTTAGGTTCGCAATCACCTCAAACCCAGTAACACTGGATCATGTTTAGTGGCCAGCTGTCAGTCCCTGAAAATTAACAAAAAATAATGGAATGTAATTTCTGTCTTCTGGAAACCCAGGGAAATCTGCCCTGGATGTGAGGTCATCTCAGAATTCTGCGGTATATTCACTGCACTATATATTCAACAAATATTTGAGCTCCTACCATGTACCAGGCAGAGCTAGGGGCTAGATATCTATTTGGAGTGGACTGGATACTGTCTCTTTGTGGAGATTGCAATATAATGTATCTGGGTTGTGTGAGACTCCAGGAACTTCCCAGCCCTCCTTTCACTCATTCTCACAGGCATCCTCAGGGAAGCTGACATCCTACTGAAAGCAGGGGAACAGATCCCAGAATAAGGTTAAGCAGCTTAGATACTGGCAGACATTTTGAGAAGTGATGGCCTCGCATTCGTCTTGATTTTGACCCTTAATGGAGAGCTCTCTCGAGGAGCTTTGTGACACAGTAGGTGGACAGGACGCCTAAGGTTCAGGAAGGCCATGCAGGAACCTTCCAGAACATTCTAGTTCAGTGACTTCCTAAAGCAGAGTCTTTGGGGATCTCTGGGAGGTGGAGTTAGATGGGGATACAGTGGAAAGAAAATGTGAAAGAGTGTTTTTTAACATGCTTAGTTTAAGGATACATTATATTTGTAAAGTGATCAAACAAATATAAGAAGCAAAGCTTGGTAGCTTCTTGTTTTAAGGAGATACTGAGCAATACAGGCTGTGATGAAGGGTTTCTCAGGAGGGGAGTGTGTATCAGAATGAGGAAGGGTTACTCTTAATATCTTAGTATTAATAAGAAAAAGACATGCATTCAAAAAGAAATGAAAATTAAAAATGAACATCCCCAACAAAGGTTGGTAAATACTGCCCTGGTGATGAGCACCCCCCTGGAGAAGGATTCATTTTCTACTCACTTGCGCAAGCCGCTGCTCCAGTAAATAGCCATTAGTGGCATGAGGTCTGGTAATGAACACATTACTTAAAACCTTCACCATCTGTCCCACTTTAATCAGGAATGCAGTGAGAATGAATTCCATAAACACAGTGATAAGCCAGCAAAAGCGCCCAATAAGAGCATTTTAACATGGCATATGTTCCTTTGGCTAGCCGTGCACTACTGTGGCATAGTATTTGTTTTCCAGTGTCATTGATTTAGCTCTATTAGAATTTTAGAGCTCAGAGGAGCTTTTGAGACCAGCTAATTCCTCATCATCATTTTATAAACGAGGACCGTGTGAACAAGGAACTATTCCGCAGTCCACCAGTTAGCAGTTTACAATCCTTTCTATTAGGCCCCCAGCTTCTCTGATGTGGGATAAAAAAGATATCCGTGATTCTGGAATCATTTAGATGTTAACATATGGCAATGATTTAAATTGGTGTCCACTTCACCTTGATCAATAAATGAAGTGGTGAAGTGAAAGTCGCTCAGCCGTGTCCAACTCTTTGTGTTCCCATGGACAGTCCATGGAATTCTCCAGGCCAGAATAGAGTGGGCAGGCTTCCCCTTCTCCAGGGGATCTTCCTGACCCAGGAATCGAACCGGGGTCTCCTGCACTGCAGGTGGATTCTTTACCAACTGGGTTATCAGGGAAGCTGTCTTCAGTAAATAGGGTGAGGGAACGCGAGCTCTTCAGAGGTGTGGTTTGGGCAAAAGTGTATTGTCCACTGGGTGGCGCTGTGGATGCTTTCCTTCCCAGAAATACTGTCCCTGAAAAGTGAAAAGTGCTAACTGGTGTAATGTGATCTTCCCTGTCGTCAGAAAGGAAACATTAAGAGTCCAAGCTTCAAGAACCTACTGTATAGCACAGAGAATTCTGCTCAATATTCTATAATAAGCTACCCAGGAAAAGAATATGAAGAAGAATGGATATATGTATAACTGAACCACTTTACACCTGAAACTAACACAACATTGTAAATCAACTATACTCAAATATAAAGTAAATATTAAAAAAAAAATTTCAAGCTAAATACTGAAGCCTTGACCGAGGTGGAATATTTGCTTGTCTAGCTGTCTGGTCTCCTTAAGCCCTTGTTATAAAGATCCATTAATGGAGAGTAAGTCCATTAGGAAGAACGTTTATTAAAACACCATTTTTATTCCTATAAATTCAAAATATTATAAGTGATATGTTCCTTGGTGATCCAAATATCATAATAAACTTTCAGAGTATCTTGTTCTCTCAGATCAACTAGGACTACACCAGAACAATATACATGTATATGTATATAAAACCAGAATGCCACAGAAGAGTTTTGAAAAAGCTGGTATAAATTTTAAAAATAACAGCACACATAATATATGATGTACTTGGCATCTTCAAATTATTATATATTGAGGTTCTAATATGTTCCAGAAAAGCATGTGGACCTTTCACATACATCCCCAATCATCCCAACATTTCAATGTAGGTAGTATTAGTCTCATTTTAGGGATGTTCAAAAAGTCAAAAAAATGACTCAGATATAGAATGAATACATGTCAGATGTTTTATTCAACTCCCTATGTAATGAAGGAACCAGTAAGATGGTAAAGCTGATTTAAATAAAGTATTTTTTGGAATTGGCTATTTACACGCATTTTGAAAAAAAGAACATAGGATAGGATTACTGGGTTAGATACAAAAGTATCGATTTTTTTAATTCTCTTGGAGAATTTCTTTGTGTTTGACTTTAGTATTTATTATTTGATTAGAACCCTGAGTTTGTGAAGTTGCATGTTAATTTGTGGGTTTCTGACTGGTAGAAAAGTAATTCCAAAGGTTATGGTTTCTGCCCTTAAAGAATATTAACTACTTTTGTATCTAAAAATCATGTATGGCCAAAGTTTTGGTCTTGGCAAACCAGTCCCACCAGCCCTCTCTGCCCAGGCCTAGGTGCGGGGTGGGCTTTCTCTGCCAGCTTAACCCGGTTCCCCTGCTGTCCTACTGTCTGTCGGGCATTGTGCATCTCACTGAGCCTCTGTCGTCTCCCCCATGTTGAAGATGAGCCCCGCCTTGTTATCCCCAAGCCAGATCGCCCAGAGCTGGCCTCCCTGTGGCCCAGTGCTGGAAAAATAAGGTGCAGATAAACTCTGCCCCTTCCCACCAGCAGGACCTGTTAGCCTGAGGTGACCCTGGGCTGCGACCCTGGCCAGCTGGGCCACCAGCTCCCCTCCCCTGACTCGGGGTCCACATCCACTCCGGGGGGCTGTCTCCTCCCCAATCTCACACAAACCTTTGCGGAATTAAAGTTTGTAAGTAAATGGTTTTAAAGAAAAAAAAAATAAAAAAATAAAATCATGTATGTTGAACCATAATTTTTGGTTAATTTTTCTTGTGATAAGAACTAGAGAGGTTAAAGCCTTGGCAAAAATTATAGTCACCAGGTTTCAAAATCAGGTCAGTCTGTGTCCAAGGACATTCTGATCTTTTTGCTACAATGGCTGTCTTATAGTTTGCAGATTCTGCAGAAGGTATGATTTTAACCAGCATTGCAAATAGTGTCAAAACATCTATTTCCATGAAATGTAAAAAAGAGTACAATCACAACAGCTTTGTTTTTCATGGGTGTGTCTGTTTTCCTCTTGGATGGAGTTTGGTTTAATAATGACATTAAGACATTTCTTTAGGTATTCTTTCAAAATGTCAAAATTTCTGTTCCATCCTAATTAGGAAGTGACTCTATCACTTGTGGCTTTGCGCCTTCACTAAAAATACATTTACTACTTTTGTACCTTCTGACAGTTGCCATGTGAGAGCTGGGTATCGAGACCAGCACAACAGTGTCCTTGGATACCAATAACTGAGACTAATGTAGGAGAAGCAGGTGGAACGATGGGAGAACCAGTGCCTAGAGAGAGATGAGCAGTTAGCATTTGGGGTGGGATGGAGAGACACAAGAGAAGTTTGACCGAGAAGTGGGCTAGGGAAGGAGCCAAGGTCTCCAGACAATGGAGGGCAGCGAAGACACCTAGTCTTGACCTGCATGCAGCTACTTGTAAAAGGATGACAGAGGATGAGATGGCTGGACGGCATCACCGACTCAATGCACATGAGTCTGAGCAAGCTCCGGGAGCTGGTGGTGGACAGGGAGGCCTGGCGTGCTGCAGTCCATGGGGCCACAAAGAGTCGGACACGACTGAGCGACTGAACTGTACTGAGCCGAAACCATACAGGAGAATGCCTGCCTGGGCCACTGGGGTGGACTGTAACAGCTCCGTATGAAATTAACTCTTGAGTTCAAAACGTACTTATGGTATTACAAGAAGCATCTTTAGTGAACAGTTTGCAAGAATGCCTTGCGAAACACACACACACACCGAGGACAAGAAATAAGCAAAAATTGTATCTTATTTTCTCCTAGGAAAAGAGAACACTGCTAGAAAAAAAGCTGTCTTTGGAAAACAAGCTGCTGCATCTCAAATCCAGCGCTACAAATGATAAAAGGTTTGCAAATCTATCTCCGAAGTAAAAGCATTTCCTGGTGTATTTTCTCTCCTCTGGTCCACTGAGCAGATAGAAGGCTCCTAGCCCACAGGAGAAAGTAAGCCTGAGAGTGCGTGAGGAAGGGAGATTTCTTCGCATTAACTGCCATGCGTCTCTTCCTTTCTAGCTACCGGGGGATCAGGAAGGACGCAGAGGTCACTGCGGGTACAGGGAGACAGAAGTGTGTGTGAGGAGGGGGCCGTTAATCCTTCCGAAGAGTAAATGAGCCCGTCCTCTCCCCTGGTGCTGAACTGGTTGCTGTTGAGGTCTCCCTTCACCTGATGCTTCTGATTTGGTTATGGATCTCTGCTTCAGCTGGCATTAAATTAGCTAGCCCACAAGTGCAATTATAAGATGGTTTTGTCATGCTCCCAACTTTGTAGAGAATGAAGAAACTACTGTGAAAAGCATCCTTAGTTCTTGGGACTTACTTACAAATATTCATTTAGTGTGCTGGTCCTTGGTGTGCTAGGGGTGAGGGTGGATTTATGGGTTTATGGATATCAAATGGCTTGACTGCTTGGCTGCTATTCAAAAAATTCTCCAAAATATGATAGAATAAATGGTATTATATGAAATTTCCTGAACCTTTTCTTTTCATTTCCTTTCTTTTCTTTTAATTCTTAACCTTCCACAATCATTATATATTCTGATATAACTTTCAAAGTTCAATCTGTTTCAAGATTGTAGTTCATCCATCTAGAACTATTGCACTGGGCACTATTATGAATCTCAAAGTGTGCACATTCTTTTTCTCATTTAATAACTTACACTCAAACATCAGTTTCTCTTGGTCCTTTGACTTTTTTTTCCTATTTCCTTTTGTTTCCCTGTTATCTCTTTCTCTTCATTGGACCACAGAAGCCAAAGTCCAGAACTGGACTGACCCTGACAATTTTGGACTGACCCTATACCTACATGTTTGAAACACACTGTGATACCACTAATATCAATTTCCCTGAATGCCTGCGAACAAGCATATAGCCCCAGAAGGTGGATTGCTAAGCTCTGTAGCACTGCACATCCCTAACTTATAGGTAGGTCTTCCTAGGTGGTGCGGTGGTAAAGACTCTGCCTGTCAGTGCAGAAGACGCAAGAGATGTGGGTTCAGTCCCTGGGTTGGGAAGATCCCTCAGAGGAGGAAATGTCAACTCACTCCAGTATTCTTGCCTGGGAAATCCCATGGACAGAGGAGCCTGGTGGGCTACAGTCCGTGGGGTTGCAAAGAGTCGGACACAAATGAGCACAACACAACAGCCTACATACATCTCTGTGGATAAGGAAGAAAATACTATGAAAAAATCCATAAATCTTTGAAATTACTTGTATTTACTCATAATTTAACTCTAAGTAAATTTTTGGCTTACCTCTTTTTTTCTAAAGAGAGCTTTTCCATGCAGTGAAACTACAGGTGGTACAATGTGCCTTCCATTAAAAGTACAGACAATTTGTTTGATTTTTTCTTTAAAAATAGTTTTTTTTTTTATGGATAATAGAGGTTTTGTTAGTGTTTGAGCCAAAAATGTAACCATTTTAAAAACCAAACTGATCTGTTCTTTCATTTCTATTATATATGAGCCGCCATGATAAAGAACTCTCAAAAAGCTCTTGACGTTTTAAAAATATCTTGAGGGAAATGGATGTTTTGTGTTCCCAGAAAGGTATTGAACGTCCTGGCTTGTGCAGTTTTCATAAATTGTAGGTATCACAAATATTTGTTTTACTTGTTACTTCGAGCTGTGTGTGGAGGTATTCACTTTGCTAAGTGACAAGAAAATGAAATCAGTATGAGTCAGATTCTTTTGGTTAAAGCAACGGACTTGGTTAAGCTAGCATCAAGGATTTCTGTTCAAGATTAACACTGGATAGATATGGCTATAAAGAAGATGTACTCATGGGAAGACAGGAGGACCACTCTTTAGCACCTAATGTGATTTGAAAAATCAGGTTATTTTGTTGACCCTGCTTAGCAATGTGTATTTATGCAGTTTCACTCTTTTGTTGTTGTTTGTTCTTCTTGGATGATTCATTACTTTTTCCCACCATCTCTTCCTTTCAAATTCCAGAGGAAAGATTCTGATTGGCCTAATACTACTTCCTGTTCTAGTCAGATTGAACATGCTGACCAACACCTACAGGAACATCTAACCAGTAGCCTGTGGCAGGTGCCCCCTCCCAATCTTGTGGGTGATCTCCACTTATTCAAGGAATAGCCTAGGCCTGCTTCTCTAGGGGGCAGGGAAGCAGCTGTGGGCGATTTGGTGCTTTAATCAAATCACCAAATTTGATTTGGTAGCTTGGCTGATTTGATTTCCCTTAAACATAGATAGTGAGTTAGATAGGTGCCATGATTTTCTTGAATTGCAGTGAGCATCATTCTATCATTTTGATAAAGATATAAAAGACTTAATATATTGGAACTTGGCATTTCTAATGTTAGAAAGCATCTCAGAGGATGATAACTTTTAAACTTTTGTAATTCAGAAGAAAAAGCTTTTTCTTGCATAAAAGGAAGAAGTCGTGTCTGACTCTTAGCAACCCCATGGGTTGCTACACACCAGACTTCCCTGTCCTTCACTATCTCCCAGAGTTTGCTCAAATTCATGTGCATTGAGCCAATGATGCCATCCAACCATCTCATCCTCTGTTGCCCCCTTCTCCTCCTGCCTTCAATCTTTCCAGCATCAAGGTCTTTTCCAATGAATCGCTCTTCTCATCAGGTGGCCAAAGTACTGAAGCTTCAGCTTCAGCATCAGTCCTCCCAATGAATTATCAGGACTGATTTCCTTTAGGATGGACTGGTTTGATCGCCTTGCAGTCCAAGGGACTCTCCAGCAGTGCAATTCAAAAGCATCAAGTCTTCAGTGCTCAGCCTTATGTGAATATGTATATATCATTATAGTAAGCTAATCCTCACAATTACTTTTAACAAGAGTTAAAAGATTTGGCAGAAGCATCTTAAAAACAAGGTTCACTCCATATTTCTCTTACTGTCAGTACTAATTGACACGTGGATGCGCCTTTCAGTTTTTAAAGTAACCTCAGGTACCTTATTTAATTTGATCTTTCCATTTTCCTTCCATAAGTAAACAGAGCTTCCAACTGGTTGCTTGTGTCAAGATTACTCCACCTTCCAGAACTTGTAGGGCTGGGAGTTAGGCTCTAGTATTGCCATAGGAAACCCTGTGGCTCCTTCCATAGAGGAGAACTGACTTTCTCAGGAGACTCCAGAGACCTTCTCTCAGACTGGTTTCCTGAGTCTGTGTGGCTGTGAGCAGAAGGCAGCTTTCCAACTTCTCTCTCTGCCCTGTGACATCTCAGACAAACACACAGACCCATTTTAGAGTTATGCTTCAGGGAAACACATTGGGAGTTAAGATAAGGAGTGTGTTGGCTTCTCCGTATCTACAGAAGCTGCTCAGGGATGGCACGTTCCTTAGAGGAGGAAACAGGGTATCTTGAAGATGTGGTTACGTATTTTTTTAAACTATTTATTTACTTGGCTGCATCGGCTCTTGGTGGCAGCGCCCAAAATCTTCGTTGTGTCATGCTGGACATTTCACTGGGGCACACAGGCTTGGTTAGATGTATATGGGATCTTAGTTTCCCGACCAGAGATCGAACACGCATCCCATGCCTTGCGAGGCAGAGTCTTAACCCCTGGACCACCAGGGAAGTCCCGTGGTTGAGTGTTAAAGCATACTTTTGTTACCAACGGTAGTTTTTAGGGTTCTGTTAAGCCTCCCTGCCCTACTGAGTGCCACCACTGAAAATGACAATGGGGAAGATTTTGACCAGCAATAGAAATGGAAATTTCTGAGTTTGGTTGAAATATGAGCAGAGCTATACCCACGCTTTAGCTTATTCTTTCACCATGGTCTGGCCTGGGAAAGGTAAGGACCTGGCCTCCCCTGTTCTTCTGGCTGTGATCCTCTCTTCTATTGAGGACTCTCGTTTCATGTTGGCCTCCATAAAGGTCCGAAGAAACATCAGATCCTAAACAGCAGGAAACCTGAGTCCCTGTAGATTCTAGTGTGATTCTTTCAGTTTCAAAGAAGCTCCAGGATGCCACTGATCTGACTATCTTCTCTCTCTAGTGGGAATTCCATGTTGGATTATTAATGTTCCCAGTGTTTGAATATGTGGCAGGTGCCCAGAAGCAGCGGCATCTTGATATATGCAACGTAATTTCAGTTGCCACTTCCCCTGCATTCTGCTTGTATCTCAGCACCTAGCCCTTTATATGTCCTCTGGAAGTTTCATTCCTCTAAATATCATAGTGTATTAACCCCGGGTAATAAGTGTGCTTTCAGTTCAGTCCCTCAGTCATGTCCAACTCTTTGCAAACCCCATGAACTGCAGCACGCCAGGCTTCTCTGTCCATCACCAACTCCCAGGGCTTGCTCAAACTCATGTCCATCGAGTCGGTGATGCCATCCAACCATCTTATCCTCTGTTGTCCCCTTCTCCTGCTGCCCTCAATCTTTCCCAGCATCAGGATCTTTTCCAATGAGTCGGTTCTTCGCATCAGGTGGACAAAAGTATTGGAGTTTCAGCTTCAACATCAGTCCTTCCAATCAATATTCAGGACTGATTTCCTTTAGGATGTACTGATTTGATCTCCTTGCAGTCCGAGGGACTCTCAAGAGTCTTCTCCAACAACACAGTTCAAAAACATCAATTCTTCGGTTCTCAGCTTTCTTTATAGTCCAACTCTCACATCCTTACATGGACAACTGGAAAAACCATAGCTTTGACTAGACGGACTTGTACATGCTTTATGAGAATTTAAAAGTGCGAACTTCTGAGACTATGTAAATGTGGCCACTATCATGCGCTTCATACTCTTTGTAATTGTATATTTATGTCCCCTGAATTCTAAGAAATGTAAGATTGTGTACAAAAACTACATAACATAACAATCCTTTAACTGGAAGTAAATTAGATGAGGAAATCAGGGAGATACAAGAGCAGGATATAATGAGGTTAGTTCACAAAATGTGTACCAGGAAGCGCTATACACCTCCTCACAGTGGTCCATTGACTTAAGTTTAAATTTTCTAGCAGCCAACCCAATGAGGAAACTGATTAGTTTTGTGATTCACCATGTCCATGTGACCAAAACCAACCAGTTCTTTGGGAGAAGTCTCTTTTTTTAAAAAAATATGTCTATAAGAGAAGAGAGAACAGTTTCTAGGATTTGCTCATAGAAAGCACCATGAACAATGTGTTCAACTGAATCCTTAGAGTAAACACAGAAGCTGTACCTCACAAAATGCTTTTAAAAAGGAGAGCATGATGTCAGAGAATAATTCGATCAAAGCCATACTCACAGTGAGCAGCAGAAGACAAATGAAAAAGTTCAATAATGCTACCTCGGATGGTGGAAGTTAACCCCTAAATAGATTTTAAAGTATCCTGACAATTGGACAGAGAGACAGTCCTCCATGACCTCAGTTTCCTTTGACCAAATCTTTGGCAGACATTGGCCAACAGAGAGATTGCGGATTTGCTTCTCACCTCGTACTTATTATGTGGTCATCCCATGTTACGAAAGACAAAACTGTTTGTTTTCATGTTTCTGCAAGTTAAAGAGAGGGTTAACTTCCTTTCTTGCACAGTAAGGAATCTATCATGAAGAAGACCAGAAATGTTACTCTCTCTCCATGGTAAACTGAGAGAGCATCCTCAGTTCCCTTTTTCATCAGGATAGAGCCAAGATTTTCCTCTCTTTTAACTGGGGCTTTTTAGTCTGCTGCCGTTGCCATTCCCAGGCTGTGGACTTTCTCAGCTCCAAGCCTGGGATGTTCAAAAAGAAAACCCCAAGAACTCATCCTTAATGTTGTTCCCTGGATCCCAGGGTCCCGAACCAGTCTTCCCTTTTCTCTCCATCTTTCTTACGTACATATGTGCTCAGTTGTGTCTGACTGTTTGCAACTCCATGGACTGTAGCCCACCAGGCTTGTCCATGGGATTGTCCCAGCAAGAATACTACAGTAGGTTGTCATTCCCTCCTCTAGGGGATCTTCCTGACCCAGGGATCGAACGTGTGTCTCCTGTGGCTCCTGCATTGCAGGCAGATTCTTTACCACTGAGCCACCTGGGAAGCCTCATCTTTCTTCTTACTTTTGTTTATATATAATGTTCAGGTTTAGGGTTGTACTTACTGGGAAGAGTGGGGAAAAACTACATCTTCTGAATCTTCCTGGAAGTGGGAAGTTTTTCAGTTTTATTTTAATTTCAACACTGAGTTTGTATTTATATTGAGTCATTGGGAGGCAGATAAATCCTGGATACAGACATTTGTCCTCCTTTCCTAGGCCTGGTCTGTGTTAGATTTCTTCTTGATATTTTGTTTTAGTACATCTTAATATTAAGACTGAGTGCTTCAACTGAAAGATAAAATAACAGTGATTAAAGGGAGCTCAAATGGTGGCTTATTTAGTATATTCTCACATTTAAAGACCTTAAATGGATGACTGTGTTTTATGTTTATTGAACAAGCTTAAGGGATATATTTTTTTTTGCAGCGTCCTTTAATCACTGTTCTAGTGTATAACGCAGATAATTCTGAAGGCCCTACACTTTCAAGAGTGCTTCCAGAAACACTTTTCTTCCATCTTAAGACCTAGTTTTGATTTTTATTTATCTATGATGAGCTTGATAGTAATATTCTTGTGAAATACACAGGGAAATTTCCCGAGTTTTATATTTTGAGGAGCATATCTACCTATCCCCATCCTTCTAAACACTTTTCGCATTTGGTCCTTAAGTTCTGGGTCATCATAAGACAAAATCAGACCATTTTGAATACTTACCTTTACTAATATACAGTATTTTCATATTTTATGAATTTTTAAAGCCAGCCTGGCTGTGCAAATTATCCAAGTTCTTTCTCATTATCCCCCAGGAAAGTCCTGAGTCTGACTGCTCTTTCCCTCTTTTCTTTTCTCTTTCTATCGGCCAGATTTCTGTTTGCCTTCTGTGCCTCTTTGATCCATATATCCACAACTCATCTTTTTTGTGAAGTGCTTCAAGTCACTTTCTAATTTTTCTGCTGAGTTCCCGTGCCCTTGATTTATAGATGCTCGTTATATATTTTGGATACAGTGCCTTTATTATTCATTTATGTTAGTGAAATTCTGAGGCTATCTGATCAACTTTCATTTGATGAGCAGTAGTTTTAAGTTTTTGTCTAGTCAAACTTATTAGTCTTTTCCTTTGCAGTTAGTACTGTTCTGAGTCCTATTGGGTTAGCCAAAAAGTTCATATGGAAAAACCGAAATGAACTTTTTTGCCAATCCAGGATTTTAACAATCTTTCTCTATTCCAAATTCATTAAAATACTCTTCTATATTATCTTCTGAAAGTTTTTTGGGTCCCCTTTTATCTTCCATAGAATTTTTTTTTTTGATGAGGTGTTCAGTCCAGTCACTCAGTCGTGTCCGACTCTTTGCAACCCCATGAATCACAGCACACCAGGCCTACCTGTCCATCACCAACTCCTGGAGTCTACTCAAACTCATGTCCATCGAGTTGGTGATGCCATCTAGCCATCTCATCCTCTGTCTCCCCTTCTTCTCCTGCCCCCAATCCCTCCCAGCATCAGGGTCTTTTCCAATGAGTCAACTCTTTGCATGAGGTGGCCAAAGTATTGGAGTTTCAGCTTCAGCATCAGTCCTTCCAATGAACACCCAGGACTGATCTCCTTTAGGATGGACTGGTTGGATCTCCTTGCAGTCCAAGGGACTCTCAAGAGTCTTTTCCAACACCACAGTTCAAAAGCATCAATTCTTCTGTGCTCAGGGTTTCTTTATAATCCAACTCTCACATCTATACATGACTACTGGAAAAACTATAGCCTTGACTAGACAGACCTTTGTTGACAAAATAATGTCTCTGCTTTTTAATATGCTGTCTAGGTTGGTCATAACTTTCCTTCCAAGGAGCAAGCATCTTTTAATTTCATGGCTGCAGTCACCATCTGCAGTGATTTTGGAGCCCGGAAAAATAAAGGCAGCCACTGTTTCCACCGTTTCCCCATTTATTTGCCATTAAGTGACGGGACCAGATGCCATGATCTTAGTTTTCTGAATGTTGAGCTTTAAGCCAACTTTTTCACTCTCCTCTTTCACTTTCATCAAGAGGCTTTTTAGTTCTTCTTCACTTTCTGATGAGGTGAGGTTAGGATTAATCTCCTTTTTCTTTTTTTCCTGTGAGTATCCAGTTATCACAATATCATTTGTTGAAAATATCATCTTTTTAAAAAAATAATATTCTATAGCATCATCTTTGATATAAATTGTTGGTCTATCTCTGCTGTATATATGTAAATGTAAAATAAAAGTGGTGTAGTTATAGCATAATTAGTTTTCTCAGTCTTCTGTAGATGAACATTTAGATTGTTTCCATTTTTAACGTTGTGGACAATAGCAAACTATATTTTATGTGTATTTTGTGACATATACATGGTATGTAATTGTACAGCACTTTATAGTATAAATTATTTCATTACATAGGATAAATAATGATGGCTATCTTTATACATCATTTGTACTTGTGCAAACATTACTATAGTTTTTTTCTATAGCAATTTTTTCTACAGTAAAACAAATTCTTTTTAAAGCTCTCTTAAATAAGACTGAACAAGGGGAAAATTAAGATTGTCTTAAAAATTGCAAGTTGCATGAAAGCTACTTGGTTTTAAGCAACTTTATTATATATTAAACATTATTGAGAGAACCATAGTGTTTAGTATTGTCCTACTCAGAGCAGTCAAAACCTGGCTCATGGACCGTCAAAATCACTGGAACACCTAGAGCCCTACTCCAGCCTATTGGATCGAGTATGCATTTAATAAGATTCCTGACAATTCAATAAGCTCTTCCAATACATATTAAGTTTGAGAAGCAGTGTTTTAGTACATGATGTAAAACAATGGAAACTCTTTTTTAAAAATAAGAACAAGTTCTCTAGTGTCACATGAATTTCCATGACCTTTGTAATATTTATGGAGTATAAAAAGTCAGAATTGCGATTGCATTGGATCTTGGCTCCTAATTGTAAAACCTTAATAAGCTAAAAATAAAACAGTACTTTGTAAAAACTCATTTTCCAAAAGCACATTCACTTTACCTCTGAAAGTGTGCCATACAATCTTGCAGTGCTGTAAAGGCAAGGATTATTATAACGGGTTTCTGATATATATGAAGATTCCTGGCCCTGTGCCCTACTATCCCATGTGTGTGGTATGGCTGCTAGGTCTCTGGGTGTTCCCATAGGTGAGGCAGATTAGTTAGTAAGGGCTTCATCTGGCTCAGTCCAGCTTGACTCAACTACCTGCTGGAAGGAGGGAAGTCACAGGGGGCCACAGAGGCGCTTTTGACATGAACTGATCTTCTCATTCAAGTTCATGTCTGAGCTAATCAGAGGCTGCTTGGTGGCTGTTTGTCTTCATGTGTCTTGTTTGGTGTAAGACACCCTACCCACACGTTGCCCAGGGGTAGAGTAGTGTGTGAGGAGAGCTAGGTAGCACAGGTGGAAAAATAGCTGTATAATGCATTAGCAAATCTTTCCTTTTTCCTTTGCATTTCCAGTTGCCAGGATCTTCAAAAGGAGATTTCCCTCCTCCAGGAGCAGATCTCGCACCTGCAGTTTGTGATTCACTCCCAGCATCAGAACCTGCGCAGCGTCATCCAGGAGGTCAGGTTAATCAAGTGTGTTTCTCTGGCAGACGGTATGTTTACAGTGAGAAGACCAAACACACGCGCCTTGTCTGGACTCTACAAGCACTGAGATTCTTCTTCCCACTGACATTTCCTTGTTATTCCCAAGCGACATGGCTCTGTTTTCAGTGTCCTCTTTTGTCTCTTTGCCCACACCTGTGATGTTCTCAATGAACATATTTGGGAAGTTATATTTACCCTTTAGAGGTTTCAGTGATTTTTTTTTTTTTTTACAGTGTTCTGAGCCAGGTAATGTACACTGTTCTTTAGAAGACTTTTTTAGTTTAAGAGATTCAGCCTTCTTAGGGAAGAAATTATCTGTTTTCATTACCTCATGAAAAATGGCTAATTTACACAGGGGGTGTGTTAGCACCCGGATGCGGTCTGGCCCTTCTTCACTGGGAACACCTTGACAGGTGAAAGGTCATTGTGATGGCAGCCAGGTGGATGGTGAATTGCATGCTCAATTTACGCCAATATTTATATTGCTCTGATTTGGGAATTTGCTTTAGACTTAAAACAGACCTTCATTTTTGTTAGCTACATAATATTCGTCTCTAAATGGAGTCCTTGCAAATAACTCAAATGCCTTCCTAACACAAATGCAGCATTTGTACTTAGTTGGCTAGATCTCACCAAAAGGCCAGAGTGTTGAGTCCTGGCACCTTGAGAGCCAGGGAGGATGGAAGGGGCATCCCATTTTACAGATGAGAAGGCTGAGGCCCACAGCAGTTAAATGGCAGAGGTGGCCTTGGAATCCACGTGCCTCCTCTCTTGTGGCCTCATCCTGGACTCCGTCACCCCACCTCCCCATCACCCCCATGTTGCCTCTCAGCAGATGCTGTTTCTCCGAAGCGAAGTGGGCTCACCTTAACATGCTACTGGTTGACCAGACCTCCGCTGCAGGGGGTCGCCCTAGGCCAGGCTGTGGCTTTCCACCGCGTCCGCTGGCCTCTGCTTCTGCAGGAGGGAAGCGGCATGGGGCTGAGTCAGACGAGCACCCGTGTTGCTTCCTACAGGATGCATCCTGCTGAGCTTGGCTTAGACGGGTTTTCTAAAGATGAAAATGTTTAATCGCACCAGCTGTGTGCTTTCTTGTCCCCAGGTGCCAATTTGTCCTGCTATTTTCTGTAGCCTGCTGAGTCTGCTAATGCTCGGGATTTAATTTTGTTTATTTGATAAACATTATTTGACCACAGAAACCTGCACAATTTCTGACTTAAGGAACTATTCTCCGTTGTCTGGCAAGATTTTTTTCATTTCTATTTCTCAATTCTTAGATAGAGGCCTTAAAAAATAATTTAAAAGAACAAGATAAGAGAATTGAAGATCTGCAAGAAAAAGTGAACATACTGGAAGCCCAGGTAAGGAGGGCATCTATTGTATATTTCAGTGTGAATGTGAGTGTGTGTATGTTCAGTGTATCTGTGAGTCTGTATATGAATGTGTCCTCTGTGTGTGTGTGACACGCCTGTGTGTGAATGCTTTGTGTGATGGTGTGACACTATGTCCAAGTATGTCTGTATGTGAATGTGTGTGTCTGTGTGATTGTGTGTGACTGTGTGTATGTCTATGTATGAATGCAGGTCTATGTGTCTGTCTATGAGTGTCTTTTTGTGAATGTGTGTGCATCTTCTATGCATAAGAATTATAGCTTTGCTGGGGAGGTACTCTCAATAATTATTTATTATCAATTCTATGGGCTTTCCTGGTGGCTCAGATGGTAAGGAATCTGCCTGCAATGCAGGAGACCCAGGCTCAATCCCTAGGTTGGGAAGATCCTCTGGAGAAGGAAATGGCAACCCACTCCAGTATTCTTGCTTGGAAAATTCCATGGATATAGGAGCCTGGCGGGCTACAGTCCATGAGGTTGCAGAGTCGGACATAAGTGACTGACTGAACACACATCAATATTAAGTTGTTGTTAAAGGTTCATTCAAATTTTCAGAAATACTGTCTCTCTTGGGGAGGTCAGTGATACCATCTCTCCATGTAGACTTGAATTAGAAGCTTGGTCAAAGCCCCTCTTGTGTGAAATCAGCTCAGCTAGAGAGCCAGGTTTGCTGTCTCCTTCTTTCCCCCTATTCTGAGATGTCCTCTCTCCTCTTCTTTCTTCGTCTACATCCATCAGGGCATGCAGGCTTTGCCTCAGGGCTCACTGACTTTAAGAACCTAATTGAAATTTTCTTATGTTTCAGTGTTTTAAAACTTATCATGAAGCTATAATTGATGTGATACACTGTGATTTTCTGCCCACTCGTCCCCTCTTGATGGGGAAGCCCTCTTTAGGTGTTCAGCTGCAGTCCCAGGCTGGCGGTGTTCCCCCCAGCACCCCGCCGCTCATGGGAAGCACAGCAAAGCCTCGTGGTTGTTGGAGCTTGAGGACGCCTGTGCCTCCAGCCCCGCTTTGCTTGGTGCGCAGGGTCAGCCCTCTTGTCTCTGTTGAGTGACTTCTTCACGGGCCGCCTAGGCCTGCTCGCCATTTCTGCTTCGTCCCTCGGTATTGTGGACCCTTGCCTTCCGTGGAAATCTCGTCTTTTGGAGCTGCGCTGCTCCCAGGACAGACCAGAGAGGAGCACCGTGATCCGATTCCCAACACTCGCCTCACCATTCCTTCTGCCTTCACATTCTTTCCGCTTTCTTCAAACAGAAGAAAAAAGTCATCATTAACATAGAGAGGCTGTAAATATTTTGCATCTTCAGTTGTGTAATCATCCCCCTGTTTTGCCATTTCTGCCTTCCTAGAGGACCACTGTTGTCTTCATTCTAGAGGGTCAGCTCTTGGAATATTGGGTTTTCCTTAAATTCTCACCTAATTTAGCTTATCGGGGACTGATGAGGGCCAAGCTCACAGCTCTGTCGAGCTGAAAAATGTAGTGATTGTAGAATAGTTGGCTCAGATCTGTGTCCACTCAAGCACCCATAACTGCTTCTCAGTTTACATCAGGTGATGTGATTTAGGTCACATTAAAGCCTCGTCCTCAGAAGAAATGTCTCTAAAGGCGTTTCCTCACAGCTTTTCTTACATAGTTGCCTTTTGGCAAATGTTATTTATAAAATGTTTTCTCTTAAAGTATTTTAATAACTATTTTTCTCTTTTTGCATAACTAACATATGTTCATTCATCCTGTACAAAGTAGGAAAGACGGATAAGCAAATATAACAAGAAAATCACTCAAATATACTGTCCATGGACAGTTATTCAGCACGGTTATGTATATCTCTATTTCTGTGGGAATTTTGTGCCTGTTACATACTTGTGTGCATATATTAAAGACACAGACTATATATGGCACCATTTTATTGTAAACTTTTATTTGTTTCATCAACTTTTTCCATGTCGTTTATTATGTAATTAAGTCTGTAAATTCTTACTGAGTGGGTACTATGGTGTTGACACTAAGTTTGGGAAAACAATGTTAAACAAAATAGACATGAGCCTTGCTCTCTGGAATGTACTATCTAGTGAGGGAGACAGATAGAAATATATTAACATGTAACTAACAGTATCATGGAAAGGTTCTGCAGGAAAAGGATAGGATGCTCTGGGCAATGACACCTGGGTGGAGGAGTGTATATGGACCATTTAGATTGGTGGGTGGGAAGAGTCTCTCTAGAAAAATGAATTTCAGTGTGAACTTTGTGGAAGCTGGGTGGTAGGGCATGTCAGGTAGCCAGGCAGGAGGCCATTGTGGGTGCTTCTAGTCTAAGGGGTTAGATCATGAAAGGCCTTTAGGCCGTTCTAAGGTGTAACAAGAAGGTCTTTGCTTACCAGTCAAATTAAATTAACATCCATATAATTAGCCACCAAAGTTTCCACTGTACTGTTAGGAAATAATCTAATTAACTTAATGCTTACTGTTGGATTGCCTTCCAATATAGCTTTCATAAACAGCAATGAACTCAACGTACTTGTACAAGTATTACTGATTATTTGTATAATTGCTTCCTTCCTCAAGATAAAGTTTTAGAAACATAATTGGTAACTCAAAGACCAGGTCCGTTTTTAAGACTGTTGATACGTGCTCCGGTTTTCCGTGTCTGCGGGATCAGGCATCTCCCTCAACTGCCACAGCTGCGCCTTTAGCTCACTTTCAGTCTCTCAGCTCTGACATTTCTGACCTGCTAACAGCCCTCTTTTTCACCCTCTTTATTATTAAGGGATTTCAATATTTAAAAACCCTTTGCTGTTATTTTAATGAAATCTAAGAAAGCTGAGATGAAAAACACAAGTGCTCAGATTTCCATTTTGAGCTGGGATTCTGCTTCAGATCCAAGTTTATCTGTAATTCAAAGCGGTCAGGTGTGAGGTAGGGATCTTTTTAGTTGGTTCCCTACTGAGCAGTCTGGCCTTCCATCATGAATTTGAAATGCCTATGTATCCTAGGCTAACTTTTTATGCTGGAAATCAGTTCCAGTGGTGTCTCTGACTGTTTGGCTCCTTTTGCTGTATTTGTCATAATCTGTCACTCTCACTCAATGACAACTCAATCGTGTCTGACTCTGCGGCCCCAGGGACTGTAGCCCGCCAGGCTCCTCCATCCATGGGATTTTCCAAGCAAGAATACTGGAGTGGGTGGCCATTTCCTTCTCCAGGATATCTTCCCAACTCAGAGATTGAACCCGGGTCTCCCGCATTGCAGGTAGACTCTTTACCACTTGAGCTACCAGGGCAGCCCATCATAATCCGTAGTACATTTCTATTGGAGAGGTTGTTGTCTTTCTTTGATCTTTCATTATGGTCTTAGGCTCTGGTCATCCCTAATTAAGTGCCGGCTCTCTTCACAGAGTCAGGGCATCAATGGTGCTACTGCTTCTAAGCCAATCTTATGTTCTTTAGTTGTGTCTCTATTTGCATCATCCCCAAAGCTAATTTTATTGCCCTAAGTAACCTGGCAACCCATACGCTACTAAGGCCAATTGGCCTTTTGGTGTAATAGTTAAACCAGAAAAATGTATTGCTCCCATTGTATTGCTTCTGTATCCTCAAATTTAGCAAATAATTGCTGACTAGCCATTCAGTAATAGGAGGACGCAACAGACTGCATTCCCTTCATGAAACTTGTTGGTTGCGTGCAGTCCGTCTATATGAGGCTGCAATTCCTATAGCCTCTTCATTAAAAAAAAAAACCCCACAGTGATGGGACAGCATCTCTCAGTACTGCCTAAGATTCTCTGTATGAAGCTGAGTCAAACTACTATTTTTTAACACTTTTTTACGTAAAAAGTCTTCAAATTATAGCAGTATTGATGAATGTCTTTATGATTTTGAAATATATTATCTTCAGCAGATAAATAGTTTCCTGCCCTGCAGGGAATGTTATAATGCCCATTTCAGCTTTAATAAAACTCATCCAAGCCACATTAATGTATTTATTCAGCAAATAGTTCTGTGTGTTTATGATATACCAGGAAATGTTCCATGAGGTAAATATATGGCATAAACAGGACAGACTGTCCTGACCTCATCTAGCTTTATTTTAATTGAAGATGTGTACAATAAATACATGAATAAATAAATGCACAGCTTAATTAGGGAAGGGTAACTGCTCCAAGAAGAGCAAAACAATGTGACAGTTTCAAAGTGACAGGAGTCAGGAAGGGCGTCTCTGAGCCTGTGGTCTTGAGCTAGGTACCTGAACTGAGTGACTGCTTGAGCTGGAGTGAGCCTGTTTCTAGTCTAGCCCTGGTCAGTACTTTGTTATGAAGATCTTAAATTGGAGGGACATGTGCAGGGTGTACTGTTTTGCATTACAAACTTAAGACCATGACCTATTTGGAAATAACAGTGTGAGCTGATTCTGTTTATGAAAAATTGATCACCAGAGCTGAACAACCCTTTTAAAGACATCAAATTTCTAAACCATATAGATAGCATCTTTTTCTCATCCATAGTCAACACACGTGTCTCTTTGAAGGCATGCTGCATATTTCATCTTGTTTAATCCTCAAAGCTACTTTGGGTGAAAGTTATTAATTACTACATTCCCTAAGGGAGTAAACTGAGATTCAGAGAAATTAAGACACTTGTTCAAAATGACTCAGCTGCATTCAAGTCTTCCTGGCTTGAAGCACATGTGTTTCTTCCCCCACTATCTGCTTATCTGGGTGATCAAATAAGTGTGTGTGTATATGCAAATATGTATGTGTGTCAATATACACATAGGTATATAAATTTTAAAATGATATTTATTTCTATATACTTAGCATATAGATTTAGAAATGAATAGTTATAATGTTAAAGTTTCAGGGTCATTTATATGTATTTGAGCCATTGTCACAGCTATTACATTAATTTTTTTTCTATTTTCTAGAGTTTTGAATCATGAAAACAAATACTTTTTTTCTAACCTAGCAGGGATTTTTTTCCTCCCTCCACAGGGAGAATAAAAATTCACTCATCTAAATCTTCTCTCTCTTTTCTTTTCAATCTTTAAGGATTTTAAACCTCTTTTAAGTCTCACCAGGAAATTTCTGCTTAACTCTGCCAAAATTACTTACTTTTCTTTCTACTTGGCATATCTTCATCATCTTAATTTACAGCTCTGAAATTTATCTTACATTTCATGCATTTCTAACGTCTTCACTAATGACCTGCTCATACGGAGATGCATCTTCAGAAATTACTCCATTTTCTAGACTTTGAAGAGTATCCTACTTTATGTAATCACCACCATCCCTAAAATTTAATTTACTTCCAAGGCTGTTTTGCTAGCAGCTTAAGTATGCAAAAATTCAGTTCTTTTGGAAAATTGTGTCAGTGAACTATCCTTGGGTAGACTCAATAATGGTGGACTTATTCTGGCCATTAATTTATAATTTTGTAAACTAATGATATAATAAAACTCATACCTCTAGTTGGTCTAATTAAAGCATATGAAAGTCCATGAATAAAAATTAAAGACCTAATTCTATTTGATGAAATAAATCACCATAGAAGTTGAAATATGTGAAAATAAAGACAGTCTAAGATGATGACACTTACACTTCTGTATTTTTTGGGGCCTAACAACTTGAGAAAATAGGAATTTATTTGGGAAAAACTCCCAGGACTTTCTACATACTTGTCCAGCCACAGCAATATATTTGTTCCAGTGCTGTTGTCATCATGATATTGAGTTTCAAGTTGTGCTTCGTGACTTATAAAGTATTGTACAGAAAGGAGTTTTTCTCTGTCTTGTGCTTGGCCCTGATAAATGCGTGCACTTGTTTGGAATGTATATTCAATTTATCTCCATTGTGCAAAGAACACCTTTATCATCAGTTTGTCAAATCTGAAATACCTTTCCTGAGTGAAATTTAGGCACTTTACTCTTGAAATATCACAGCGAAATGATTCATGTAGGAAGAATTTTGCTCCATCTTTTAATTATTATTCCATGTAGTTGCTGGGGGATAAGAAGGTACAAAGTTGGTATCTTGTCTTGGCTTTCCTTAGCTTAGGGGAACTTCAACTTAACTGCACATTAGTATTGCCTGTGGAGTCTGGAGACCTCCAGAACACTGACTGCAACCGAATGAAACAAACTTTGGGTGTAGGACCCAGGCATCAGTAGGTTGTAAGTCTCCTAGTTAATCCCAATACACAGCCAACACTGAAAACCACTCCTTCAGTCCGGTAGGCTCTCCTATGTGAGCAGATATCCTAAAACCTATCACTTGGCCACCCTGGGTTTCTGATTCAATGGCTTGGTTGGGAATTGAGGATGTGCAGTCCTAATAGTTTCCCAGGGGATGTTAAAACTGTTGACCTCAGGCTTACGCTTCCAGAACTGTGCCTCCATCGTTTTTCTCTCCCTTTTTTCTACCTAGCCATTTCACTTTGTCTTATAGGTCCAGATAAACCCAACGAAATCCAAGGGTGCATCCAGATTTGAAATATTACGATCATATGATATGTTCCTTCCACCTTATATATAATAGGCAGGCTGTGTATCATTTACCACTAGGATAGAGAGGAAAAAATAAAGGCTTCAATGAGAAAATTAAGATTAAGGATTCCACGAACCAAAAGAACAGATGGTGCCTGTGTTCCTGGAGTTTCTAATCAAGAGATTGCACCAGAAAGACAAATGTGTAATCAATATTGTGGATATCTTTCAAAAGGTTCTTTAGTAAAGTTCTTTCATGAAGTTCTTTGCATCTGTACATATAAAAGAACCTGTAAAATGAAACGGTTCAGCTGTTGAGTTTCAGAAGCTAAGCCAAAATACTAAATTTGAATCCCTTGGTAAATGAGGCATTTTCAAGGTGTGTGTTTTTGGAAGTGATATTTAGGGACTCTCAACTAGCTTATGTTCTGTGTTCTAACAGAATAACTGGAACAGCAAACTGACTGCTAAGGAGGGATGTAGGTGGTGGGTCAGCCAGGAGTACGGAGAGTGGAACCACTAAAGGTGATGCCTGTGTGATCTCTGCACATTTTTTTTTTTTCAATTTTAGAACAAAGAACTAAAAGCCAAGGTGGCACTCTGGCCTGAAACTCATAGGACGAAGGTATCTAAGGCTGTCTCTACAAGGTAAGGCCTTTCTTCCCCCACCACCTTCTGTCTTCGTGACCCCTGTTGAACATGTTTGACTTTCATCCCACTTGAGTAAGAATCCAATCCGTGAATACTTGTGTAATCCTGTGTTTCCTATCTGTCTTCCAGTTCTTTGAGAATGGGAACTGTATTGATCTTGCTCACTACTGACTGAATCCCTGAAATCTGATGTGTGAATACTTACTTTACGAGTAAATGAATGAATAAATTTAGGCATCTTTTCCCTCCTCTTCAGTATAAAACAAACCTTGTCTTCACTTCAACACTTACTCCAAACAGTACAGATTACCTCCTCTACCATTCTTGTTCCTCCATTGCTCGTATTTTCTGTGCCATTGATAGGCATTTTAATCATAAAAAGTGTGTATTTAGTTAAATTTCCATGTCTGTATCTCAAATCAAAGAGATTGTAAATGTCAAGAGGGCAAGAATAGTTCTTTATTTTCCACTTTATTTCCTGCATTGCTAAGGACAAATGTCTTTAATAACTACCTAATAATGAGTGAATGAGGCAGTAAAAATGACCCCTAAAGCAACAGAAATGATAGTTGAAACCATCAAATCACTTTCTAATGTTGACAGAATCTGAAGTGACAGGTTGGTGAAAAAAAAGACTTCTGAGTTCAAATCTCATTTCCATAATATTCCATGAAATTATCACTTAAAAGAAAACATAGTCTGTAATTACATGAATCATTTTGAAAGTGATTAAAAACTTCCTGTTCTGGCAGCTTTTAAATTTCCCCGTCTGGTCTCTCTAGGGCAGAAACCCATTTTCTGAAACCCTCTTCTGCACAGTGCCTGGCATGAAGAAATCAGGTCCCCTATGATTAGCATCAGTCTAGGAATTCAGGCAGATCCATCGCCCTTTTCAAAACACCCTGCAGCCATGCTTCACTTTGCTAATGATGTATGTAATCAGAGACTAGAGATGGAGCCATCAACGACCAAGCTTTCTGAAATCTCTGGGCCCCCAGACGCTAAGTTATTAACTTTTTTTGGCCAGTAGCCCTGCAACATCTAATAAAATTAAGCCTCAGAAGTGTAATATTAGGTGAAATGCCTACCTTTTAGAAGCAAAGAAAAAAATAGAGTCACTTCATGAGGGGAAGAGATGAAGAGTTTAGAATAGAAAGGCAAATGTGGTGACTTCCCTGGTGGTCTGGTGATTAAGACTTCACCTTCCAACGGAGGGGGTGCAGGTTCGATCCCTTCCTGAGGAGCTAAGATACTGTATACTTCATGGCCAAAAAACCAAAGCATAAAGGACAGAAGCAATACTGGAACAAATCCAGTAAAGACTTTTTAAATGGTCCATATAAAAAAATCTTAAACAAAACAGCAAGTCAGACTTTCCAAGGGAAGGGAGGATGGTCAACTTTAGCTCCCTTACTGGGTACATTCTCTTGGAGTCGTGAAGCATCATGGCCAGTCTCAGCTGTTCTGAGCCTGGAGGGAATGGAATCAAGAGTGGAGCAAAGGAGGGAGCAACAAGTGGTCTCTATATTGACTGTATTGAGTGCTGAGTGCTGAGACTCGGGATGGTACAAGGAGGATGGGTTTGAGACAATGACTTCTATGGCCGATTCTTCAGCTGCATTTAATTAATAAAGGTAGTTTTAAAGACTTTTCCCCTCCTTATGACTTGGGAAAGGCCAAATGGGAAAATCTCCTAATCGAAGCAGGGAAACTGAACTGAATGTGTCCTTTGGTTTATGATTTTTTATAGAAGTTCCGATAGTAATGATATATCTATAATGGTAGCTCTCATGTTTGCAAAATGAAATCTGACCAATTGGTTGCTTGAGAATGTAAGTGGTAGTTCAGTTCAGTCGCTTAGTCATGTCCGACTCTTTGCGACTCCATGAATCACAGCACACCAGGCCTCCCAGTCCATCACAAACTCCCGGAGTTTACTCAAACTCATGCCCATCGAGTCGGTGATGCCATCCAGCCATCTCATCCTCTGTCATCCCCTTCTCCTCCTGCCCCCAATCCCTCCAAGCATCAGGGTCTTTTCCAATGAGTCAACCCTTCGCATGAGATGGCCAAAGTATTGGAGTTTCAGCTTTAGCATCAGTCCTTCCAATAAACACCTAGGACTTATCTCCTTCAGGATGGACTGGTTGGATCTCCTTGCAGTCCAAGGGACTTTCAAGAGTCTTCTCCAACACCACAGTTCAAAAGCATCAATTTTTCGGTGCTCAGCTTTCTTCACAGTCCAACTCTCTAGTGGTAGTATGGTTTGGTAAATCTAGAGTCACCAAAATAAAATGGAATCATAACTTTAGGGAGGAAGTGGAATATAAAAGTGGCCATTCTTGCAAGGAAAAAAAGAATCACATACATTTAAATTTTATCTTGGCAAATCTCTTAAGTTACTTATGAAATAAGAGTTCTGTGCTATTTTTCAATAAGTACAAAAAACAAGGATTTTTTTCCAAGTATTAAAACATGTAGATGTTTCTCAAATTGAACACCAGAGAAATGGTCTTCTCGATATTAAAGATCAGGTTGTTTGAAAATAGCAAAACAGCAACAATAAAATATGCATGAATATATATATATATGTATACAAGTGCATGCAGATATCAATGTGTGTGCATATAAATATGTATATATATTTATATATATATTAAACTAGATTCACACACTGAGGAGAGAAGTTTAGGCTATGATAAAATATTCTGAGGAACAGCTGATTTATGTGTTCCATCTCAAGTCACTCTGGTGCATGTCTTCACTGAGTGGAAGGGCAAATCCACTCTCACTCTTCCTCGCCCTGTCCTCTTACAGCCAGATGCATTTACATAAGGTAAGGCTTCCACAGGGCTTGCCTAGTGGATCAGTGGTAAAAAAATCCACCTGCTGTGCAAGAGATGTGGGTTGGTCCCTGGGTCGGGGAGATCCCCTGGAGGAAGGCATGGCAACCCACTCCAGTATTCTTGCCTGGGAAATCTCCTGGACAGAGGAGCCTGGTGGGCTGCAGTCTGTGGAGTCACAAAGAGTCAGATACAAATTAGCAAATAAACCACAAGGCTTCCATAACATGCTTTCTGCTGTGTCTCATGGGGAACTAGAATCAGTCAATTAACCACCATTTCTTAGGTTGAAGCAACTAGTAAAGACTTGGTAGTAGTGGTGATGGTAATGGTGGTGGTTTCCCAACTGTATCAATAAAGTTTTATGTGCCCGGTTTTGATAATTGTGTGGTCTTTTCTACAGTGAACTGAAGACTGAAGGGACAACCCCATATTTGATGTTGGTTAGACTACGGAAGTGAACTGGCTGGCTGGAGATCTGAATGAGAACGATTACTACTTGGGTCTTATTTGTTCCTTGAAACAGTCTAAACACATATTAAAATGCTTCAATGCCAGTGTTTAATGGAATTTGTTGTATTGTATTCAAAGTATACATCAATAGCTTTGCAGGAAGATGTTTCATAAAATCAAACAAATATATATTCAAGGAAAGGAACTCTTTCTTCAAAACTTACTAAACGGATGAAGAAACTGGATGCTTTCCCATGATGGAAGATGAATTTTGCTTACACTTAAAAAAAAAAACTGAATCTTTCTTATTTTTATTGTTTGCAAATGTTTTTTGAGGGGACTGGTTAAGGTCATCTACTTTGACCGTTTGATAGTGGTTTCTATATGCAGTCATCATTCCTTGGTATCCATGGGGGTTGGATCCAAAAGCCCTAACAGGCACCAAAACCCATGTGGCTGTGGATGGTCAAGTCCTGTATATAAAATGGTGAAGTACAGTTTGCCCTCTGTACCATAGTTTCCACATCTGTGGATTCCATCAGTCATTGGTGTGGGTCCTGCAGGTACAGAGGGTTGACTGTGTATAAATATAAGGAAGAATGCACAGGCATACTTCCTTTTATTGTGCTTCACAGACACTCCGTGTTTTTTTTTCTTACAAATTGAAGGTTCGTGGCAACTCTGCATTGTCAGATGATAGCATTTTTTGACAATAAAGTGTTTTTAAGTTAAGGTATGTATATATTTTTTACACATAATGCTATTGCACACTTAACAGGCTATGGTATAATGTAAATATAACTTTTACATGCACTGGGAAAGCAGAAATTTCATGTGACTCACTTTATTGTGATATTCTTAGTATTGTGGTGCTCTGGAATCAAAGCTGCAAGTGTGTGTATGTGTGCGTGTGTGCGTGAATAAATGATATACTTTAAAGTTGACTTTTGGATAATAAGTAATATCTTACCATGAGGTAAATTCATCTCCTAACCCATGGTTAGTGAGAGAGTTATTTTCTACTGGATTAAGGGCAGAAGAAGAAGTAAGTTTTTTTAACGAATTCCCTACCTACGCAACCCTCCAAAGCTGAGAATCCTGACTGCTCACCGCAGTTTAAGAGGTTACTGTTCTTCACTTGGGATTGAACTTTGGTTACTAGAGGCAACTCACATATCAGCACAAAGAAATGCACTTTGTGATTCTGCCTTTGTGACTAATTTTCTTTTATTTTTGTTAATATTATATAAGTAAAATGTTTAGAGGGATGAATAGAACATAGTGCTCTGAGTTCATACCTCCATAAAAAGGTATTTATTACTACTATGGATTCAAAGGAACAGTGGTTGTTGTCTGCAGTGAGGAAGAATCTGAATTCATAAACTTGGAATGATGTGTCTATTGCTTTTGTGAAAGTGTATTTCAATACATACATTCATTACAGGTGGAATTTGTGATTATATGAGTAAAACCAAAGTCTAACTTAATGCAAACGCACTGGCACTCAGGAAAACAGAACACACTTCAGCTAAAGGCATAATGAGAGAGCTTCTTCATCCTCAAAGGGGAATCACCTGTAGGCTTTTTGATCCCTCTCTTTGGTGTATAACTGAGCATTTTCTCAGGAAGGATGCTTCATGCCTTTCAAAGTGGAATGTGAAACATCTAATGTCTTTGTAAGTTCAGCAAAGTACTGTAATCCTTGCAGTGCTGCCTAACTCTATGTGTAAGTTTCATAACTTCTTGTTTTGATTGCTTTCTAGTTTTTAAGGTGTAGTTACCTAATAACATTTAGGACACAGTCACCCTCTGTGTTATTCGCTTCAGTCGTGTCCGACTCTTTGCGATCCCGTGGACTGTAGCCTGTCAGGCTCCTCTGTCCATGGGATTCTCCAGGCAAGAATACTGGAGTGAGTTGCCAAGATCTCCTCCAGGGGATCTTTCCAATTCGGGATCAAACCTCGGCCTCCTGCATTGCGAGTAGATTCTTTACCATCTGAGCCACCATGGAAGCCCAGTCACCCTATGCCAGGAACAATTCTAAGTACTTCACCTATGTAATTGCTTTAATTCTCCCAACAAGCCTCCGAAATAGGTCATATTATTGTCCCCATGATCAGAGGAGGATACTGTGAAGGAGCAAGTAATTTTTCTAACAGCTGACAATGCAGTGAATATTCGAACCTTTTCTTTGGCTTCTGATGCATCTGCCTGCTCACTTGCTGTTCCGATACTCCCCACCACAGAAGTGTCTCTCTTCTTGCCACTTCAACAGACACAGCTGTTTTGTTGGCTTTCTTCACCACCCTGTGGATGACACTGAGAAACAACACTTATCAAGTAAATATTTTGCTGAGAAGAATTGTCTTTTACCTGGTGGTCTACCTTACGAGTACTTAGTTCTGAAAAACTTCCCTGCTAAAACTGCCTTTTTTAACTTTATTATTCATGCCTTTATGCCACATTCAGGATTTTTGGTCATATATTTCCTGGCACATGTGTAGGGATATTGGGACCATGAATTCTGCCTTAAGCATCTTCAGAGTGGTAGGAAATTTCACTTTTCACTTGGAGATCACTTAGGTTCCTTTTATACCCCAACCATTATGCTGGCTTGCAATAAATCTGGGTTGTAATAAATGTGAGTTTTTAAAATGGATCCATTTAACTGACCTAACAACCTTGATGATTTACATGAAAATAATGTATTCTAAACTCAAAAATGGAAAGACATTGTTGGGTTTATTTGAGTTCCACCATACTCATTTTTGAACATGGAACTTTATTCAATAAAATAAAGGTAGGACCTGCTCACATGATCTTCATCTCCACTTTGGAATGGTATTTGGATCTCTTGAGAAAAAGAATAAGCAGCTTCAGAAGCCTAAAAAGATCTGCTCTTCAAGTACAAAAGTATTTTTTTACTAACACAAGTAGATTATTTATTTGTCATGTGTGGATTATTTCCTATATCCTCATCATTTCAGCTTTACCATTTGAATTGTTTCTTTAAACAAACATTTCTGAGTGACAAAATAAATCATTACAATGGATAATGAAATTTAATAGTCTAAAAGTAGTGCCACACAGAAAATACAAAAACAAAAAACCAAACTGTTAGCTAATTGGTTGTCAAAATATTTGTATTTATAATTATACTAATCAATATATTGGATAAGAAGGTCTGAGGTGGGCTTTGAAATAAATACATGAAGATGGGAAATGAAAAGTTTCATTTCACTTTGATTACATATATTGTTATAAATTATCATTAAGAAGTGTTTAAAAAATTGGTATAGTGTATACCATCTGAATAATTGCTTATGATATGCCTTAAAATAAAGAAAGTTGATATCATTTTGTGGGTTTTGTTTCTTTTTACATTAAAATTATTATACATAAATAAATCAAGCAATTGTTATCTGACTGTTCATGACAATATAATCCATAAAAATAGTTTTTGTCAGTGAGCAGGTATTTAAATAGCACCTTGAATTTTTCTCCTAGTTTTCTCTGAATTCAAATTAATAGCAAAACTGATCTATTAAATTTTTATTCTAAAATTGAGAAAATGGTAGCATTATAAAATTAAGAACATGTAGACACTTATCAGATTCTTTCATATTGTTTCACTTTGAAAATTCTTACTTGACTTGAAATCCTCTGATCCGAAAATAGTTATAGGATCTTTATCAATATCAAAGTAGGGACCCAATCTTTCAGTAAGTAAAAACTCTTTAAACAAATAAAATCATTATAATTCCTTTCCTTCCTTTCTGCCTTCCTTCATATTGGAATATAACTCAGCAATAACAATAAACCACAAATATTGCAACTATGGATAAATATAAACTTATGATACTTGAAAAAAAATCCAGAAAAAAGAGGACATATTCAATACCATATGATTTTATGGGGACAGGGTGTAAATCAGTATTTGAGGATAGGCATAGAGGGAGAGAGTGTGAAGGAGTACAGAGAAACATTGGGAAATAGTAGTAATGTTTAGTGTCTCAAATTTCGTTCTAGCCAATGTATTCTTCTTTAAATTTTTTATTGGAATATAGTTGGTTTATAGCGTTTGTTAATTTCAGGTATACAGTGAAGTGAATCAGTTGCGTATACATATATCTACTCTTTTTAGATTATCTCCCTGTATAGGCCGTTACAGAATATTGAGAAGAGTTCCCTGTGCCATACAGCAGGTTTTTGCTAGTTTTATTTTACATATAGCAGGGTCTATTTAACTCCCAATCTCCCTTTTTATCCCTCCCTTCCTTATCCCCTTGTGACCAGGTTTGTGATCTACATCTGTGGCTCTATTTCAATAGAGCATTGCGTCTTTAAGATTCATTCATTTCTTATTCCACTAAATATTTACTGAGGCTCCCTATTTGCCAGGCCCCTTCTGGATGCCAAGGCAAGAGCAGTGGGGAGAGGGGAGAGGGTGCATGTGGTAGGGAAGAAAGAAAAGGGGGAAATCTCAGTCTTCATGGAAATTTCTTCTAATGACGACGAACAGATAATACACTCAGGGAAGTCCCGTGGACTGTGAAGAAAAGTGAGGCGGAAGATAGGCATAGGGAGTAACCAGGGGTGAAGAGCTGTAGTTCCAATTTTTAATTGACTGATCTTTGAAGCTATTACTATGAATAGCTCTGTCAGTTACATAGGATGCTGATTTTAAATAAGACCTCTCTCTTAGAAGGTAATATTTAAGCAAAGATAGGAGGAAAGCTAGGGAAGTGACTAGAAGGAGATATTTTTGGGTGGAAGAGGGGTCCAGACAGAGCGGGGCACAGGTGCATGAGTCCCACAGGCCAGGTGTATTCTGGAATAGCCAGGACGTCAGCTGGACAGGCAGGTGAAGAATAAGCCCCAGTATTGTCTAAATCATTTTTCATGCAACATATTCCTTCACATTTATACTGTATAAGTCATCCCTTTTATTTGTTTAGTAAGTTAGCCTTCAAGTTCGGTTTTGACTTCCTAGCAGTGATAAGCTAGTGATTTTCAGGAATCTGTATCTCAATTCCCTCCTTTGCCCACTTTTCCCTGACTATGAAGCAAGCCCAGGTTCTGTGGAAGGGTCATTGATGAGAAAACTGCTCTTAAAAGGCTAAGTTGAGATCTTGTTTTGACCTACTCTGTTGGCCTAGAGAACTCAGGCAGAACTGCTCTCCCAAGTCAAGGGACAAGAAGGGGGCCCATGAAGCTGGGTAATATGGGTTCATAATCCAGTGTCTTAACTAACATGATGCCAAATCGCTCCTTCGGGTTCACTTTTTCACGAGGGTGAATGAGCTCATGATGTAAATGTATCTAGGAAATTAATCAAAGAGATTGAAGTCTGCTGCTTTTTTTTGAAACTCTTGGTTAAAAAAAAATTTTTCTCTCAGAAACCTCCAAAAATGGGCCAAAGTGATGATGATTTCAAAAATCTGACATGTATCACAAAATCTTTCTAGTACTTACAATAAAGCCTTAGTCAAATTATAATTAGTGTGTTGGCTTCCTAAATCATAATGCAAGCCCCCTAAATGAGTTTCTAACAGAAAAGTAATGCTCACACTCTTATTATAGCTTTTCTTTCTCCGCGGCTAACAATCCACATTAGAAACAAAATCTTCCTTGGTATCGTGAGCTGTGATCATACAAATACCTTATATACAGTTTTAAAAAGAGAAGTCCTACCATTATAGTTGAATGTCTCGATGGTCTTACTTTTTCTTCAGTATGGGGCACACTATGACTATTTTTACACCCTATAAAACCATTAGGAAAAGCAAATCTCTAATGACCTACCTTGAATTATTTAAGAGGAACCCAGGATAAAAAGATTCTGCCTGTGTGACGAGGCATTACTACTGTGGTGAGTCACTCAGTTGTGTTCAACTCTCTGTGACCTCATGAACTATAGCCTTCCAGGCTCCTCCGTCCATGGGGTTCTCCAGGCAGGCATACTACAGTGGTTGCCATTCCCTTCTCCAGACACTACGGCTACCAGGGAGTAAAGTTGAGAGAATGGTGCCAAGGATTTATTTGCTTACTGTGGGAGAGTTGTTTATCCTCAAGTTAAAAACTCATCATTATCTTGGCAAAGCTTATCTATGTAACATATGGAGGAAGAACAACTCTGGGAACAACTTTGCGAATGAACATGTAAAAGTAAGCTGTATGGTTGTGGTCTTGAACTGGCTTTGAACATCAGTCCTGTTCCCAGGCTGTGACTAAAGGAGATATGACCATCTTCAGCATTTTCCTATGGAAAAGAAATAGGTTATAATACATTGAAGTATTGACAAAACTTGACATAACTTCAACATATTAACTGCCAATTTTATAAGTGTATCCTTCAAAATTATTAGGAAAGTTCCCTTGAAAATCCCAGTCCTTAAACAAATAATATGTGGGACTTCCCTGGTAGCTCAGATGCTAAAGAATCTGCCTGCAATGTGGGTGACCTGGGTTTGATCCCTGGGTCAGGAAGATCCCCTGGAGAAGGGAATGGCAACCCACTCCAGTGTTCTTGCCTGGAGAATCCCATGGACAGAGGGGCCTGGACAGCTACAGTTCATGGGGTTGCAGAGTCAGACATGACTGAGTGACTGACACTTTCAGTTTCACATATTAGAAAGTTTAGAGAGATGGATAAGAATCACTTGGCGATATCTAAATAATTTCTTTCCTAGTTCCTAATGGACATCGCTTTTAATGTCATACAGTTTCCATACTGGTATTCACTTAATGTTCCCCATCCTCCATACATTTGACTACAGTACAGAAATAAGATTGCTTTGAGTACGCAAAATAATGATAAAAATGCATTTTTATTTGAAAAGTGTGCGGAAACAATCACTGAATACAGTTCTGGACTGTAATATTTAAACCCACACACCACAAAATCATTGGATGCTCTGATTTCTGAAGCTACTAGAACTTTGGTACAACAAAATAATGACCTGACAGAGTCTGTCAGGCACCACAGTCTATTCAGGGGCACAGAGAATAAAAATTCCATGTTCAAGGTTTTAATTTACATTCATAGCACTAGACACAACAGAGATCTGAGTAGATGACAGACAAAACAATCAAACGTGCTTAGCCTAAAAATGAGGATAATATCACTTAAATGTAGACTGTTGGGATACAGTGAAGTACTTCAATGTTAGGCCAAAATGTTGTCTACTTTTAACACATTAAGCAGGATAACTTACTTTCCTCAAATAATTTCAGACACAGTCAGTATCTTTTACAAGGCTGCGGACACAAAGCCCTATTTATACAAGGAGGATTTTGACCAAATTTTAATATACTATCTAGAATATAATTGGATTCCTTGAAAGAAATACGAGATGACCTACAGAATGAAATGGAACTCATATTTATTTTTCAATAACTTGAGATATATTGAACATTTTCAATCAAAGACAATGACCAGAGCTGACTACCCATTTCAAGTTTCCGATATTGCTACTAAAATTAGTGTTTTGTGCCTGCTATA